CCTCCCCTAAAATCTCTCCTAATCCCACACGATATGGGATTCTATGGCCACCCTATGCCATATATGGCCTTTCTTTGGTACTGGATTCATTTCTATACTGCTTGCCTAAACATGGCAAGCAGATCTCATAAGAATCGAACCAAAATCGGTTTAGATCCTTGACTTTTCTGATTATTTTGTCTATATTCGTCATGTGCTCTATTGTAAGTATGAAGATTTCTATATCTTCTGTTGATTCTTACTTACCCTAAATTAGGGTTTTCAGATCACTTTTAATCGAACCAAAATAGGTTCGATTCTCTGATTTTAGGTATTATTATGTCCATATTCACCCTATATTCTACTATGACATGTTTTTTGTTTTATTTTTGTCAATATTTGTCTTACCCTAAAATTAGGGTTTTCAGATTTTCTTAATTAGTTCGATTTTCTAATTTCGAGTATTATTTGTGTCTATATTCATCCTATGCTATAGTTTTTATGTATATTCTGTTGATATTTGTTTTCCCTAAAACTAGGGTTTGCCTATTTTTTCCTAAATCCAATTTTTATTGATTTTGCATGATATTTCTTCCTCATTTACGTTTGATTTTATAGTGTTTCCTTGTTTAATTTCTACTACTATATAAACCCCTCCCCATTCCCCTTTAAGACAGACTTGAATCGTTAAGAGATTTACTAAAAAAACTGAAGTTACTGCTCTTTGTTCTCTAATACTCTTGTTCTATATTCTGGTTCTTGGCTGGCTGAAAGCCAAGGCCAGAAATTCTGGGTTCTTGCTCTTCGTTGGTATTCAGAATACTGTGGACTTTCGTTCTTTCTTGTTTTTTGCTTAACTGGTGAGTTGCTGACTTTTGTCACTTCATTCCTATTTAGCTGTCATTTGCATATGTTTTCACTTCTGGAAATTGTAGTTTAATGTGTTTTCCGGCTGTTCTGGTATGCAATTCTGATTGCTTTACTTCAATTTTAGGTCTCTCTAATCTTTAACTTCATTATGTTGGTCATCTGAGACATGCCTAAACCTAATTTGAGTTATTCAGATTCTTTTCAGGCTTATCTAGCCTATGTGTTGCAACTTACTAACACACTTTAGCCTCTCCTTGATGTTTAATTTTGTTATCAATCCTGTTACTGAAACATGCTTTACTTACATAATTCTTGCAATGACCTGTTCTCATCCTGTCTAAATTCTGTTGCCAATTAATATGATTCTCACTAGGATCTATACCTAGCATAATTTGAACCTTTTTTACTATGAGTCTGTGTACACCAATCCTGCAAACCTATTCTGTTAAAGTGTGACTACCTATGCATTAGGTGTTGAACTTGTTCTTCTAAAACTTTGTTAAGTTTGTTCCTAAAACCTAAGCCTGTTTTTTTATCTGCTCTATGTGCTCAACTTGATTATGTTTGTATCCTTCAGTGCTGTCCCTCAACCTTAGTTTACTCTCTTTCACTTGTTACTTGGGCTCTTTTGAGTTCTCATTCTTAGCGGCTGAAAGCCAAGGCTACCTAAGTTCTATCATTGACCTCCCTAGAGTGAGCACTGCTCGGGCTCCAATTGAGACCCTTGTGAACTCTGACACACTAAGACATGGTCCTTAGTCATTCCCCGAATCTCCTCTATTAACCTCCCTAGTGTGAGCACTGCCATGGGTTCTTGAAGCCCTTGGGAACTCTGACGGACTGGAATCTAAGGTTCTTTGCCACTTGTGCTAGTTGCTCAATTATGTCCCATTTTCACCTACTGAATAAGCCAATGGGCTTGTGTACATGGTTGTTTACTGAATCTTTGATGGCTACTGGGTTTTGGCTATAAAGACTATTTTCTGGGCTGTTGTGAAACTATGTGGACTTGAGATTGAAGGCCTGGCCTGGCCGGGTATACTTTGGGCCTGCCTTAGGCCCACTATAGCTATTTTGTAATTCTGTAATTCATTTCATTCATTGGGCCTGTAATAATATTGTAATAACAATTGGGGTGCTAGTGAAATTGGGGAACTGGGTCTATTCCTATGCTTGCATAAAACGGGTAAAAATCCTTCCTATGCTGTTTAAATTGCTCGAACCTATTCTGCCTCTATGTGTGTTAAATAACCTGCCTATAGGACTTCTATGTTCAATTCGTTCAACATACTCTACTTCTACATGATTGCTAGATATCATGCCTATAGGAAATAACATGGCCAATCTTTCAATTGCAGCATATTCACTAGATACCATGATCATAGGATTATATTAGTTCTACAGATCTGCATTTTAGAAATCATGCCTATAGGGTCTTAATTGGCTAATGTGCTGTTATTATAATTACTCACTTAGGAGATATGCCTATAGGAGATAAAACCAGTTTTAATCGCTAATTGTAGAAATCCTGCCTATAGGATAATCCCACTCGCTTTTAAGTTTTAATATTGAACTTTCAAACACTGTTTTGTTGCCACTGTTAGAAAGCATGCCTATAGGATCAAACAAAGTAATTCTGGATATCTTCCATGGTCATTACTGCCAACTACTGCACCTAGATATCATGTCCATAGGTTTAAACACTTATAATTTGCAATTTTAGTAATCGGTACGCAATACTAGACTCCCTAAAATATAAAGTTATTCATAAAGCATGCCTCTAAAATGACACCTTGCATCTGAAACTGGCTGCATGTTTGAACTCCAAAGTCACATAGAAATCATGTCTATAGGGCTTAATGGCTTTAACTCGCCTCAATTCTAAAACTGTCAAATGCCTAATTTGTTTGCGTGCATTTGTTTGTTTGTGTGTGGAGACTAACTTGAGCCCTTAATTGCCTTTACATGAAGTCCAACTTGTTTTTGTATGTCGCCTAGTTTTATCATTTCTGAGCAGCCTAGGTAAAGTCTAGAACTACCCAAATAGAGGTCCAAAGCCTCCTGGACCGTAGGCATGGGACGGGTAGTGCACGCATAGGGTACGAGTTATAATTGAACTAGTACGCTTTAGGTAACAACTTAAAGATAGTAATCGGGTAGCAGGAGATGATATTCTGTGCCCGCTGAATAATACGAGTAACACCCCATCTTGAAGGAGTTACAAAGTATTATTATGTTGCACGGGGTGATCCTTTAAGCTAAAAAACTTAGGACCCCCCCCCCCCCCCTATTTTCTTTCTTTTCCTATTAGAATCAAAATAGTTGTACCCTTTGTTCATTTCTGTTTATAATAAACTTCTTAAATTTTTGTGCTCTCTCTTCGTTTATTTGATCACATAGACTAATTTATATAATTCGAGTTTGGTCGCAAACCACAGTTGTGGACCTCGAAGAGTGCCTAACACCTTCTTTTCGAGGTAATTTCGAGCCCTTACCCGATCTTTGGTGGCGCAAACTAGTCAAACAAAGTTATCTGCAAAATAGGTGCCCTAACGTACCTTAAACCCGTTAGGTGGTGACTCTCTTTCTTTTAACACCTTCCTTAAAAGAATTGTCACATGTCGAAACCCGATTTCGCGAAAAAAAGGGGCGCGACAGCATGGCGACTCTGCTGGGGATATTTTTAGGCTCTTACCATAAGCGAACTTGGTCTATATGAATTAGTCTTCTGTGATAAACGTGTCTTTATTATTTTTTGCTGTTACATGAACATCTCGCTCTCTTTTCCCTTTTACTGCTACCCGTATACCCTTTTCCCCGTTTTCCATTTATTTGACTTTGCATGCAAATCTCTGCTCAATTTGGTCATAACATGCGCTTTCCTTTAGACATTTTTTTTAAGAATTGCTACATCATGTCTCTCCCCACCCTCACTCCCTTATCTACTTTATTACAATTTCCATATTGCGCGAACTAACTTCTTCCTTGTTTTCTTTCTTTGTCTTTTCGTTTCATATTGCATTTACTGCTTTCATCATGCAAAAATATTTGACAACGTGTTGTTTTATCTTTGCATAAAGCATGCTCCACATCATATTCCACTCGTGCGTAATTAATACCATAGCGGCGCTTGATGAGTGTCCGAGCTCTTCCTAAATCACCCTTTAAATTTGGAAAGGCTTATTTACGGTAAAACTAGGCGATCAGCGGTGCAGTCGACGGTTCCGTGCCTTTCCCTCTCAAGTTTTCCGCTTGAGGGTACCGGTCTAGACTCTTGTAGAAACCCCCACTCTAATATTAACTGTGCATGCATCATGTCCAAACCTAGTATGAGTTAGAACACTGTCTGCGTAATAACTCGCTAAGATAAGCCTTGTCCAAAGTCCGCCGCGATTTTCATAATCCCAATGGGCACAATCACGATCTGTGCATTATTTGGAGAAAACATGCCAATATGTTGATCATTAACGTGTGAATAGCCAAATTTGGAGGGGGAAAGGGCTAACTTTATTTGTTTTGCAGAAATGAGGCACGAAGTCCCCAGGTTCGGCATGGTTCGAAATATCCTACCTTTGCTGCTAGATTGGTGGGAAAATCTTCCGCCAAGTGACAAAAAACATGTGAAAAGAGTCCTCGCGAATTTACCCTCTATGTTAGACATTCAGCCAAACAATGCATTATTGAGGCCGCCACCATGTTCTGGGATGAGAAGAGAGCCGTTTTCCATTTTGGTGACATAGAAATGACCCCCCTTTTAGAAGAAATAGGAGGTTTCACTGGGCTCCTATGGGATAACCCTGGTTTGTTGGTACCCCAAAACCGCACTCCTCGAGGTTTCTTGAAAATGATGGGTTTCAGGAAAAATGATGATTTGGTCTGTCTAAAGAAGTCTTACATACCATTCGATTTCCTTTATGAGCGTTATGGGCACAGCAAGTCATACCGCCTTTACCATGACGAGTTTGCCATCACTTCTTTGGGTTGGACTCATCACCGAGTTTTTGTATTCATTGTCTGTTTTCTGGGTATGCTGGTATTTCCAATACAAGGAGAAAGGATCCACACTCGCCTAGCTATGGTCACTAAGACTTTTTGAGGGGATTGAGGGGCAAACTTACACTATTGTCCCTATGATTTTGGCTGATATGTACCGGGCTTTAGATCGTTGCAAAAAGGGTATAGGCATTTCGAGGCTTGCAATCTGTTGCTGCAAGTATGGTTGTTGGAACACCTTCAAAGAGGAGAATACCGTCAAGAACTTCTGAGATGACCATGGAATGACCATATAGCCTATCACTGTCCGAAGAGAATGAGTTTTATCCCAAACATGTTTGTGCAACCGGAAAACGCTGTGAGCTGGGCACATTTCTTCAGCAATCTGACTGATGACAAGGTACATTAGATGTTCGAGTGGTTCCCTAGCAGTGAATTCATCATTAGGTCGAGAGACACTCCTCATCTAGTGCTAATCGGATTGAGAAAGATCTATCCTTATGCTCCTATTAGGGTTATGAGGCAAGCTGGGAGAAAACAGGTTATACCACAAGTTTCTAAAATGGTTCAGTATAAAGCATACTTTCAGGGGAACTCCATTCCACTCAAGTTCGAGGAACAACACATGTGGCGTCAAAAGGTCATTGTGGAGAAAGATACCATCGAGACAGATCGGTATCATGCCGGCCATGTGCACTTCTATCCATCATGGTTGGTAGATGATATAGCGGGGGATGTCAAGCTAGGGATTAATCTAAAGAATAGGGTTGTAGACGATGCTGCTGAAGCACAAGTCAAATACAGGATGCTACGCAAAAGGGTTTTCGAGTCTGAAGCCAGGCATTTGGAACAACATAAAGTGGACATGGAAGCAATCAATGAGTGGAGAGAAATCGCTACTAAATCAACATAGAGGTTGGAATATTTAGAAGAGGGGTTGATGGAGCTTGAAGGGAAGATGAGAAAGAGGGTTACAGGCTGTCAAAACATGGATGGCAATGAAGGAGGGCTCTTAGCAAGGGCATATCTGCTGTTGGACATGCGCGACCTGGGGAATCTGATCGATGGAGCAAAGAAGGCCAAGCATGGAGAAGGTCCCTCTGGGACCAAATAGATTAGGAATTATGTTTTACTCGCTTTCTAGACTCATTTTAGACTTTGGTTGTAATAAGCAAATGCCATTAGTGACTCTTTTTAATTATTGTCGTTTTAGTAGAGATTTGGTTTATTTGTCATATTAATGAAATGATGCAGTTATTGGCATCGATTTTCTCCAAATCTATATGTCGCTTAGGCCTACCTCGGGCATAATAAGGTCCCCAAATTAGGACGCAAATCTATAATTCCACAATATGTGTTTAAATACCGCAAACATCCTTTTAATACTCCTTACTGACTTGTTTACCTTTTTGTTTTCTTCTTTTCTTTATTTGTTTATTCCCATCCCCTAAGGTTGGTTCGTGCATACTGGCATCATCAGCATATCATACCAAAACTAGAGGTCCTCCACCTCCTCCTCCTCCGAGTGATCCTAAAAGCAAGGGAAAAGCCAGAATGTCGAGAAAGACAATGCTACGCATGTAGAGAATGTCGAGAGTTCGGATGGTCGGAGTACGCCAGCATAGAATGACTTGTTCTTACGCTTGGAATAGAATATATTGGAGCTACAAGGGGAACTTGAGCAGGTCCGGAACTTGGCAAACCTTTCCCTTACCCTGAACATCCCCGACGTCAACCAACAAAACACCCAAAACCCAGCACCTCCCCAGAACACACAAAACCAACAAAATCATCCTGCACCTCATCAGTATGCCACAACATCATCATCATCCAACCCAGTATCCACAAACCACTACCTACCACACTCCTCAAAACGCACCACAAACTACCCCGATTCTCAAAACTCAACCAACGACCACGACTATGCCCAAATTCCTATAGTCCATTAAAGCAACCCCATATATGTGGAAACCTTACCCCACACACTCCACAACAAACCCTACACATACCTGAATCCGGTGAGAAAGACCTGCTCATCAAGAACTTAGCGGAAGAACTCAAAAACTTACAAGCAGAGGTCAAAGTGTTGAAGGTGGTAAAGGCATTGAGGGCTTAAATTATGAGGATTTGTACATTCAGCTAGATGTAGAGCTACCAGAGGGTTACAAACCTCCTAAGTTTGAAATATTCGACGGGACAGGTGATCCAAAGGTACACTTGAGAACATATTGTGACAAGCTCGTAGAGGTTGGTAAAGATGAAAGGTTCCGGATTAAGCTGTTCATGATGAGCCTCACTGGAGACGCCCTGTCCTAGTACATCAGTCAGAACCCGAAGAAATGGGTTAACTGGGTAAGCATGGCATTAGATTTTATGGATCGGTTCAGGACAGAAAATGCATGTAATGACCCGGCAGGTCGTTTCATGAGTTATAGCCCCATTTTCCCTATTAATGATTCCTTATATGTTCCTCAACTGTATTTTATCGTATCATGTTGGTTGGCTCGGGTCCGGAGTGGTTTTGGGGTGAATTGAGACACTTAGTCTCCTATTTAGAAGCTTAAGTTGGAAAAGTCAACCGATGTTGACTTATGAGTAAACAATCTCGGATTTGAGTTTTTATGGTTCGGTTAGCTCTGTTAGGTGATTTTGGACTGGGGAGCGCATCCGGAATGTGATTTAGAGGTCCGTGGAAGAATTAGGCTTGAATTGGCGAAATTGGAAATTTAACAATTTTCAGTCGGCAGTGGAAATTTTGATATCGAGGTCGAAATGGAATTTCGGAAGTTAGAGTAGGTTCGTAGTATCATTTGTGACGTGTGTGAAAAATTTCAGGTCATTCGGACAAGGTTTGGTAGGTTTCGGCATCGTTTGCGGAATTTGGAAGTTTAGAAGTTCTTAGGCTTGAATCCGTTGGTAATTTGGTGTTTTGATGTTGTTTTGAGTGTTTCAAAGGTTCAACTAAGTTTGTATGTTGATATGTGACTTGTTGGTATTTTTGGTTGAGGTCCAGAGGACCTCGGGATGAATTCGGATGGTTAACAGAGAGTTGGGAAGTGGAATAAGGCAGCTGAAGCTGCTGCTTCTGATGTTTCCGCACTTGCGGAGTGGGAACAGCAGGTGCGATGATCGCAGATGCAAAAGGTGAACCGTAGATGCGAAATCTTGGAAAACTGAGGCAGGAGATGCATGTGCGGATAGTGGAGCGCACCTGCGAGACCGCAAGTGCGGTGTTGTGACCGCAGAAGCGATTTCTGAAGAGTTAAGTGGGAACCGCACCTGCGATGGATTTTCCGTAGGTGCGGTATCGCAGAAGAGACTGTTGGACCACAGATGTGGAAGTTCTGGGCAGAATGTATAAATTGTGGACTTCGCGAATTTTGGGTTATTTTCCACCATTTTTGGTCGGCGTTGGAGCTTTTGAGAGCAATTTGAGGAGGAATTCAAGGGTTTATCAGTAAGGTAAGTGGCTTGAGCCCTAATACTCGTATATGTTATGATTTCCTGTTGTTTAATCATGTAATTAGTGAAGATTAGGGGTGAAAATGAGAAGTTAGGGCTTAGGACTTTGGAGAGTTGATTTGAGGAGTTGAGGTGTCAAATGGAGTTGGATTTTGTTGAATTTCGTATGTATGGACTCGTGAGTGAAAGGTCTTTCTAGTTTGTGATTTTTTCGGATTCCGAGACGTGGGCCAGGGGGCCGAGTTTCGGTGAATTTCGGTATTTTGGTCTACATTGATAGTTTTTCGTGTGGAATTGGTTCCTTGGCCTATATTGACTGCATTGTATTGCTTTTGGTTAGATTTGGGACGTTTGGAAGCCGGTTTGAGAGGCAAGGGCATCGCGGAGTAGGATTTTTGGCTTGATTGAGATAAGTAACGCTTCCAAACTTGGTTCTGAGGGTTCAAAACCCTGAACTCTATGTCATGTGATTAGTGTTGAGGTGAAGCACATGCCAGGTGACGGGCGTGCGGGCATGCACCATGATAATTGTGGCCTGGTTCGTTCCATGGCACCGCTTAGTGCCTCTTTCTTGTTGATATCCGTGTTTCTATCATGTGATTATGTAAATGAGTTGTAAATCATGCTAGATATCATGTTAGGGATTCGCGCCAATATTGTTGAGACCTGAGTGGTTGTTTCTTGTAGTTGTTATTATTTGGCACATCATATCATTGTTTCGGGCTAGTTTCATGGCATTGTGAGCCCGTGTGTGTGAGACTGGAGAGTGATGACTGAGTGAGGCCGAGAGCCTGATTATGAGTGACAGTTATGGAATCGGGCTGCACGCCACAGCAGTTATTTTGATGATTATGATAGCACTTGGGCTGTAAGATCCCCTCCGGAGTCTGTAGCACACCCCCAGTGAGCGTAGTTTATATTATTGAGGGATGGATTTCCCTGGACATGGATCTTGTCCGAAGCATTTATACCTCGAGATGGATCTTCTCCACAGGGCTGGAATGGCCTTCCTCGATACTGAGTGACTGTTGTCAGTGGTGTGTATATATTCCGGGATGGATCTTCCCTGGGCCGTGTGAGCCATGTACAGTACCGAGTGGTTGTGAGGTTATTATTATTATTATTATCTGGAGATGGATCTTCTCCACAGGGCTGGATTGGACTTCCTCAGTACTGAGTGACTACTGTCAGAGATGTATATATTCCGGGATGGATCTTCCCTAGGCCTTGTGAGCCATATACAGTACTGAGTGGACGAGCTTTTGAGAGTGGGAGCACATTGTGCATTTCATACAGTTGATGCATTGGCAAGTAGAAGAAGTTGAGTTATATATCTTAAACTGTTCAGATTTGTATTTACCTTATCACTTTGAGCTGTCTTTTTAACTGAAAGCATGCCTACGTTTCTTTACATCGATTCTATTATATTTGTTGAGGTAGAATTCGTCACTACCATTCAGTCCATACTTTGGACTCATTACTTACTGAGTTGGTGTACTCACATTACCCCCTGCACCTTGTTTGCAGATCCAGGTATCTCTGGCCACGGTAGCGGCTGTTGACTATTCCAGTTGCTGACTTTCATCGGAGATAGCGAGGTAGTTGCCTGGCGATCGCAGTCCTGTTTTTCTCCTTCTTTATCTTCCCTATGTATTTTGGCATTCTCAGACTATGTTAGTCTTGCTATAATTCAGAACAATTGTAGTGGTTGCTCATGACTTAGTGATACCCAATGTCGGGCTTTTATTTCCGCATTTTGGTTTTTGAATTAATCTCTTTTACGAAATTTTAGGATGAAAGAGGCTATTATCTAACTTTTAATGATATATCGAATTGTTTGGGAGTGTGTCGGCTTGACTAGTTCCATGATAGGCGCCATTACGACCGGGTTGGTTTTGGGTCTTTACAAGT